AAAAATAAAATTGAAAATTTAAGAGCCTCGTTCCGTAGGCTCTAAAAATCTCTAAAAATCATCGCTAAAATCCCCCACAAACAGCTACAGTCGTCTCGAAATCCATCTCAGGTAGAGATGTGCCAAGCAGTTACTTGGGCGAAACAGCTGCAGCTAGTTCCAAGGTCGCCGTGGAACTCGTTCCAAAAGCAGTTCCAGCTGCAGCTGGTTTTGCCCGCTGCAGCTGGTTTTCCCGCTGCAGCGGAGCTATGGCTGTAGCGGAACGAGGCAAAAGGGCGGATTAACAAAATCTCAGTTTATTGCCATAATTTGAGACGGATTAGTTTAAGCTGTTCTTGAATTCGAATATTGTTTTAAATAATGCAAAATAGCGGCTGTAAAGAAATCAATATCGTGTTTTGGAAATGTTGTACAAGTAATTAATTATTTTTAGTTTATTATTTTATTATTTATTTATTTATTATTTATTTATTATTATTATTTATTATTATTTATTTATTAGTTTATTATTTTAGTTTGTCTATCTAGGGTCTAAAAATAATACGTGACAAGGCCGTTATAAATTATTTTAGAGGTTATATTATAATTTTTTTTTGTTAAAATAATATTATTCAAACACCACTTACACTACCTCTTAATATAAAATTCGAAAGTTAAAATCCTGAATTAAGTTAAACACAAACAATATTATTACGGTACTGATTGCTGAGGAAGAGATAATTATATTTGTATATATTATGAGCACGACTTAACTGGGACTGATGTATTTTTATTTAATTCCTGCCTGAAAAAAATAAAAAACTGAAAATGATTAATTTCTTTTCAAAAATGTCAACCATATCCGCTAATCAAACCTTTGTTTACAATAGACCAAATAAGTCAAAACGCATCAGCTGCACAGGCTAGATCTTAATGTATAGTGAGAGTATTAATAAACCAGCTGCAGCTGTTTTGTTGTAACTGTATGTGTTTTACAAATCCAGCTGTTTGTGCGGAACTACATTCAAAGGCCGGCCGCACACCTGATACAGCACGGCACGGCAAGGCGAGGCGAGACGTCTTTGCCTCGCCTTGCCGTGCCCGATGAAGATTTGAGATGCATACGGCATGGCACGGAAAGGCGACTTGAGCACCCACATGGTCGATCCCATGGTTTCAGTAAAGTGAGATGCTGTGTGTTATGAGGTTGTTTGTACATTTTGTGACACTTTGTACTACACATTTTGTGAGAATGGATGCAGAAGGCGAAGAAGAGGCTGCTGTCATCGCTGCTATATGGTACCATTGACTGTTGTGTTTATATAGTCAATGATGGTACCTAATGAATGTAATGGATGATCTCCCTAACAGAGAATCGTTGGTGCATCCCATCAACCAAAAAAGCACTTGAAAATGCTTGAAACCATTCATTGCAGAACTAAGAGCAGATCCGGAAAAAATAAAAATTACTAATCGTTGGAAGTGCACACTTATTTTGACAGGGGCTGTCACTGCACTGAACGTGGTGTCGATCCTCGCGCATGCGCACATCGTTTTTCCTCAAGCCTTTTGCCCGAAAGACGAAAATTGAAAAGGTAGGCCGGGCGCACACCTGATGCGGCACGGCATGGCACGGCGCGACGTTTTACCTTAAGGCGCCTTAGGCCGGGCGCACACCTGATGCGGCACGGCACGGCACGGCACGACGTTTTGCCTTAAGGCGCCTTATGCGACTAGATTTCTATTATTTCAAATGGGGGTGCCGCACACATCATCGGGCACGGCAAGGCAAGGCAAAACAGCGCCGTACGGCGCTTTGTTCTGCCTTTTCAATTTTCGTCTTTCGGGCAAAAGGCTTGAGGCAAAACGATGTGCGCATGCGCGAGGATGGACACCACGTTCAGCGCAGTGACAGCCCCTGTCAAAATCAGTGTGCACTTTCAACGATTAGTAATTATGATTTTTTCCGGATCTGCTCTTAGTTCTGCAATGAATGGTTTCAAGTTCCTTTTTTGGTTGATGGGATGCACCCACGATTCTCTGTTAGGGAGATCATCCATTACATTCATTAGGTACCATCATTGACCATATAAACACAACAGTCAATGGTACCATATAGCAGCGATGGCAGCAGCCTCTTCTTCGCCTTCTGCATCCATTCTCACAAAATGTGTAGTACAAAGTGTCACAAAGTGTACAAACAACCTCATAACACACAGTATCTCACTTGGGATCGACCATGTGGGTGCTCAAGTCGCCTTGCTGTGCCGTGCCGTATGCATCTCAAATCTCCATCGGGCACGGCAAGGCGAGGCAAAGATGTTTCGCCTCGCCTTGCCGTGCCGTGCTGTATCAGGTGTGCGGCCGGCCTTATGCGACTAGATTTCTATTATTTCAAATGGGGGTACGGCCAGAGACGGCTATGGTACGGCGCTTTGTTCTGCCTTTTCAATTTTCGTCTTTCGGGCAAAAGGCTTGAGGCAAAACGATGTGCGCATGCGCGAGGATGGACACCACGTTCAGCGCAGTGACAGCCCCTGTCAAAATCAGTGTGCACTTCCAACGATTAGTAATTATGAATTTTTTCCGGATCTGCTCTTAGTTCTGCAATGAATGGTTTCAAGTCCTTTTTTGGTTGATGGGATGCACCAACGATTCTCTGTTAGGGAGATCATCCATTACATTCATTAGGTACCATCATTGACTATATAAACACAACAGTATCTGTTTTAGATTATATTTGATTTTATAACACGTATAATAAAATATGAAATATTAATAATTACTCCTTGCTATTTAATTAGTTGTTTGAGTTGAATTACACTAGGATAATTTCACCAATTGTGTCAGAAAATTACTGTTTATACCTATATTAAATCTTTGATGGGACCGTACAGTTATAAAGTGGTGGGTGATTGTCCAAAAAAAGTAGTAAGTAACGACATAGTATAGTAATACAATTTTAAAATACAATAATTCTTGGCTCGATATTTTTTTCTCGATATAGCTGATCAACATTTTTGTACTTTTTCGGGTTGTTTTCAAGAATTGATTGCAATTTTATGTATATTGATTGATATTGAAACCTTATTTAGTATAATTAACCACCTTATGTAAGTTTTGCATAGTTTTAACATTGTTTTATAGCATTTAACACAAATATTAACATTTAGGGTAATTTTTAGGGTAACTCAAAAAGTAGATTTAGGGTAATTTAGGGTAATTTTAGCCCGCCTTTAGGGTAAAATCGCAGCAACGAGGTGGCAACACTGCGCCCATCTAGGCTACGGCCACACAGGCGTTTTTTCACGCGGTAAAATATAGCTTATTTTCACGCTGCTTGAATTCCCGCTGTTGTATGCCACACGTCGTTTTTTTCACGCCGTAAAATGTAGCTTATTCTCACGCTAGTTGAAGTCCAGGAACGCGGGAAAATGCACTCGGAACCCGCAGTTGATTGACGAATTCACGTAATTATGTTGTACATCTTCCTAATGACCGAAATAGTAACCTTGTTTCTGACTAGTGAACAAAAAATATGAATGGTATATTAATTTTGGTATTTTAAAATTATTTTATTTTGTTAACCTTTCATTTAATTATTTACATATAGTATAAAAAATAAATATAATATTAATGTCTATATGAAAACAACACTAAAATTATTTTATTTTAACATTTAGTATGAAAAAGGAATATAATATAAATATTTTTATGACAAGATTTTCATCAGATCTTTGTATATTCTACTACATAAATGCCTCTTACATTTTTTAGTCCAACCAAACGCCTTTCCTTTTAGTAACAAATTATTAAGTGGCCCAGTAAGGTCGACCTATGTTTAAAATCCTACTGTGTAATTGGCTAGACCCAAAAATATTTTACGCTATCTTGGAAAAAATTAGATACATTTATCTTTATTTTACTTGCTAGGACGACTTGATCAGAGCTGCGTGTTGCTCCCGCCCGTGTGGCCAGGGACAGAGCGTGAAAACAAGCTTCAAAAATGCACCCCAGTCCATTCTTCTGCGGGCCCGCAGCGGGTGATTTTGCAGACGCACCTTATCTGCGTGAAAACACACTCCGTGTGGCATACCCATCGATCTCTATTATTACTACAGATAGAGATCGATGGGCATACCTCATTACATTTAATGCTGCCCATATTTCTCGCGTTTTTTCACGCTGCGTTCTTGCGTGAAAAAACGCCCGCGTGGCCGTAGCCTTAGTCGTAGTGATGGGCGATACGGACGCGTATCGCGATACAGCGATACGATACGTATCGGAAAAAAATATCGTATCGCCGTATTGAATCGGGCGTCTGTATCGCGATACGTGAATCGTATCGTCAAAAATATCGAAAAACGATACGTATCGTATCGTTTTCCCCTCCCCTACCTAACCTAGAAACGGCAAATTTATATAAGTACCTGGGGACCAAGCTTTGCTCGGGGAAAATCATTAGTTTACTCTGAAAACAGTCTTAGTATTGCAGATACATTAATCCATTTCCACACTCCACACTGCTCGCCTTTACTACTTCCTTCACAGCTCCCTACGTCTTGGACCTGTTTCTCTATCCTTCCCATAGCATTTTAGGATTGCAGATACATTAATGTAATTGCCACAGACAGTTCCCACACTCTGCACTGCTAGTGCTAGACTAAGATAGCACGCTAGTGGAATGGAAATGGACTGGACTGGGATGGGGATGGGACTGGTACATTATCAAGTAAAAACAAAAAATACAGACGTCAAAAACTCCTATTTCAAAATATACATCCACAGAGTTCAGATTTTGCAGTTTGCTTGGCCTGCTCAAAAAAAGCTTAAAAATATCGTTTTGACATGAATCGATGAATCGTATCGCTCTATGTGCCGATATAAATACAAATATCGTTTTAGGCGATACGATACGTATCGTTTTTCAAATATCGTATCGTCCCTCGCGTATCGCGTTATTCCGATCCGATACGATACGAACGATACTAGTCATAGTCACTACACTAAGTCTGAAGTCAGTCAGTGTCAGTTCAGTGGTCAGTGCGTTGGCTTGTTGGCTAGGGAGGAGTTAGTCTTTAGCTCGTTAGCTGTGTTAACTGATAGTAGAATACGAGAACTTAAATTGCAGTTAATTCATTTACTGTCATTCACTAAGTCATTCCTCCCATAAGTCATTCACCTACCTATTTGGTTCATACCTATACGATAGGTTTATAAAAAGTTAACATCCTGCAGTAGTTTTTTAAAGCTAGCCTATCTGAAAAGTTCATTTATTACATTTGGTTAGTCAAAACCGATAAGTTAGGCTAAAAATTATTTTAGGCCTATGGACAAGATATTTTAGGTAGGCTAACATCTGACTGCAGTTAATACAGGCTAGGTCAACTAACTAAAATGACGTACCAGTTATACAGAAACACAACCATTGGAAACACACTTCAAGAGAGCCTCGAAGAACTAATGCAGGTAAGGTTGCCAAATTATAACCTAGGCCTAACTCCAACATGAGAATTCAAACAGCCTTAAAGAACATTTTGAAGCAGACTTTAGCTCCATCAAGTTTGCATGATGTTTTTTGTTTTTCTAAAATAGCCACTCTTATTTAATTTTGTAGAATGAACACTTAGTTTTTATTTTTGCTTAGTGTAGCATGTTATATAGGATGAAATCAAGAACTATAGGCCGATTTCACTCGTCTCTACATTCTCTAAAGTCTTGGAGAGAGTTATGTTGAATAGACTTCGGGAATCTTCATCAAAATGACATCAAGCTCAGCGAGCAGCATGGATTCATCCCAGGTCGCTCAACAGTGACTGCTCTTGGGGAAATTATTGAGCACATTATTGACAACTTGGATGCAGGGAACACAATCATTAGCACCTACCTTGACCTAAGCAAAGCATTCAACTGCCTTGACCACAGCTTGATACTGAGCAAGCTGGAACTTCTCGGCATTGCAGGAACAGCAATCAGCTGGTTTTCAAGCTACTTAAGCGACCGAGCACAGATCGTGGAACTGAGACAAACCATCGATGGAACAACAACTTTTTATATTTATATTTATATTGTTATTTACTATATTTTGTTATATTTATTTCCTATTTACACTGTTGTTGCTTGTTATATCGTTATATCATCTTGTTATATCTATATCTTGTTATATCTATACCTTGTTATTTCTTATATCTTTATATCTTATATCTTTCTGTTATCATTGTTAATCTATTTATTGAATGTACTTCAAGTTGGCTAAAATTTCATCAAAAATGTCTATTTTTTTTTTAGTCTTATATAAGTTTTGTCATATTTATGTATTGGTTTGACCGTTGGTATAAATAAATAAATAAATAAATAAATAAACAACAGCTGTTCAATCCAAACCGCTAAAAATAAATAGAGGTGTTCCACAAGGCTCGGTCTTCGGACCGGTGCTTTTTGCCTTGTTTATGGCTGATTTCCCAAGCCATGTTAATGCGTTCTGTAAAGCGGTAATGTTTGCTGACGTCACCGTCCTGTTGACCTGCAAGAAAACAGCAGAAGAATTAGAAGTGGATAGTTTCATCGCCCTAAACCTGGCTCAGGACTACTGTGAAAACAATGATTTAGTCTTCAACGAAGATAAAACTTCTCAGCTCATCATAGGAAGACTACAAAATCAAGTCTCTGGCCCTCCTAACATCCAAACGTGCACTTTTACCAAGCATTTGGGAGTCCTTTTAGATCAAAAACTTACTTGGAATCAACACGTTGACGCACTCTGCCTGAAACTAAGCTCTGCAAAATTTGCTTTAAGGAGGGTTCGATCCGTCAGTACCTCCGAAACTATACGAACATGCTACCATGCTTTGTTTGAATCCCACCTCAGGTACGGGATCATCTTTTGGGGTGGATCATCACAAGAAAACCTGGAACGAGTTTTGGTGCTCCAGAAAGAAGCAATGCGAATAATGGTCGGTCTCCAACCAAGAGAGAGCTGTAGAGAAACCTTCCGTAGCTTACGCATACTCACCGCAGTCTCGATCTATATCTTGGAGGCAATTTCCTACACAATTAAGGTCTCTTCGTCGAAGCATGTAGCCTTCCACAGTCATGATACGAGGCACAACGAGGACTTCCATCTGCCCTCACACAGAACATCACTCTTCTCGAAGAAACCTTCGTATGCTGGAGCGAGGTTCTTCAACCTTCTTCCCCAGATTGTCAAAGAGGGCTCACCTACAACGTTGAGGAGGCGAATTCGGAATTGGCTTGCTGACTACCCAATCTACAGCCTTGAGGAGTTCACGGCCCGTGCAAGACCCCATCTACGATTGGACTAAAAATCTTATCATGTAAATAAAATAAAGAAGAAGAAAAAATTATTGTATTGACACCATTCTGTGCTTGATGCTCACGGATAAAGTATTCTGTATTCTGTATAGGCCTACTATTGTACTTATGACAAGATCGATTGCATGTAATTTTGCCTAAAGATCAATAAATGTCTTGTCATGCTTTGGTATAAGTTAGGCCTATAAGTTACCATGGGAATTTATTGCCTTCTCAACAGTAGGCTAAACAATAAGATCATATAGGCTAACTTATGGTAAGTAATAGCCTAGACTGGGACGGGTGGCGTCGTCCTGTAATCCAGCTACTAGTAAGTCAAAAATTGTGGATATTATTATAGGCATAGGCCCTACACACTGTGGATGCGATACTCCCTGGTGTGGATCAACGTCCGCACGAGTGAGTGCTACGACTATCCGCAGTAGGCCTACTATCTTGATAATTAGACCAATTAGGATATAGGCCTACCAAGGCAAAAATGTGGTTCGGATTCCTCTATAAACTGTAGGTACCTTAGTTGCCATTGGCTGTATGTGCTATTAATTAACAGCTGTGTCTAAGGAATGTCGGCCTTAGTTACTAACAAGTCTACAAGATGGCGCCACTCATCCTACACTTTTCTCCATTTATATTTGGCTTAAAATACCTACTTTGTATGGTCGCCATTTCATAAGAAAGTAATAAAGAAAGTAGGCTATTTATCACCGGGGCAAATATTTACCATGCCTACACTGGGATATTATGTAGGCCTAATTTTTATATGTCTACATTTTTCACGCTGAATCCAAAAATGCAATCAGTTTTTGTCGGAGAGATTCCTAAGTAGCCGTAGTGGCCGTAAAACGAAGGCTAAGATTACGAACCTAAGGATAATTGAGCGGTACCTACTGAAGGTAATGGTAATATGGCGTGGTCTGGACGGGTCCGTAACTTACTGAATGAGGAGTGAGGACTAAGTGAGAAGAGCAAACAGCTGTTTATACTTGATCTAATGCGGAATGAAATCAAATCATCAATTAGTTTTGAAACCAAATAAGGTAATCAGTTCTTATTTAGGCATGTGAGGAAGGTACGGTAGGTCGGGTTCTATGCGGATTCGTGACTGTATTAAGTGTTTTGAAGTGAGGTGTGTAGGTTAGATTAGGAAAATAAAGGTTCGGTTATAATGAGCCGACTCCAAGGGCGGTCCCAGGGGAAGAACTATATTTTTATAATTCTTTAATATAGGCTAATATAATACTCTAATATATAATATTTTATAATAAGTTTTATATTCTATAACAAAATATTTTTTATATAGATTACCAATTATACCAGGGGAACCTTAATAATTTGTATTGCAAATCGTTCTACCAAAATCATTGTAGTCTTTACACTTGTGGAGAATGAAGGACTACTTTAATTACAAACTCTAACATAAAACTTGAGATCGTTTGAGTCCGACTAATATTTTTTATACGTTATGAGAAGTAGGGCAGCCGACGCACGCTTTCAGTCATACGGCAACGGCAGTGTCCGAGGCTGGCATTTGACGCGCGTCCGCATTCTTCTTCCTTATTTATTTTTTTGCATTTAAATGTTATCATTCACTGTGTAAAAACACATAATTTACATAGCCTATATACAATTATTTCTCAAAAATACTATATTTATCAATGTGTGATTCAAATCATTCGTTTTGTTTGTTTAGGCTATACATATTTTAAAAACAACATTATGATTATTACAGTCCACTGCTACCCTCAATAAACATGTATTAAACATTTTCTATCTTTTATTTTACAATTCAAATCAATTTAACTTTACATTCACTTTAACCTAGATGATTGAAAACTTGATTTAGGTATTGGATAAAGAGAATAAGTTGTATCAATAGTCAAAGCTTGAAGGATAGTAGAATATTCATTTATCTGAGTTCAGCTTTAGGAATTTATTTATTTATTTATTACAAATGCATACAAAGATGGCAAGACCCTATAAAAAACAAAACAATCTCAAATAACAAAACTCTAAGCTCGTATTTCTGGAATTTTTAATTACAGTAATGTAATTCAATGACTACCGTAGCAAAATTTAAAACTTTCAATATTAAATAGTATTTAGGCACCTGATATCATATTTAAGAATACCAAATACTACAACCCAATTGGTTTTTTGATCGCCACGAAACAACAACAAAATGGTAGTGTCACAGACTTAAGATGCGGAAGGGACAGATTTAATTACCGGCACAACCACAAAAACGTTATTCTCGCGTTGACCCCGAGACCCCCCTCCTTTGCTGGGGGATATTCCAGGCCCCCCGGTGACCCCACCCCCAAATATATGTCTAGGACCGCCCCTGGCCGACTCATTAATTTAAGCTACTTCCAGACAGTTTTTGCCAAGCTGTTTTTTTTTAGCTGTTGTGCTGTTTTTGTTGTTTAGGTATTCTCTAACCTACCTGTGTCTGTGGTTCTTTGGGCTTCGGCCTGCTTGTTGTGTGCGACCAGCATTCAGTGTGGCAAATCCTCGACTTTGGAAGTAACCTTTCCTGGAGGTGAAAACGGGCAAGTACCCGTAGCTCACGGGGACACTCAAGGGCAACGTAACTTTCTGCAGTGTGAGGGCAACGGTTTGTAGGCACTCATGCAAACCAATCCCTGTCTCTGAGCACGGACGGTATGGTTATCTTGAGTGTGGGGGGTTCTTCCCGGAACCTCAATTGAGTCAAGGGTGTCGCCACCTCTGGTGGATAGGTTCATCCGGGTGGGTCCCACTTCTATACCTGCCTCCTTTTGGGAAACCCTGATGGCCTGGCAGTGATGTTGGGTCTGACGGGCAAACGAAGTAGATCGGGTGCTGGGTCCGAGCCCGCCAGGGGTATCTGGGGATCTATCGCTCAGGTTATCTCTGGTTTCCCAGCAACTGGGTAAGGCCTCGATCGGGTAGTGGTGTAAATGGGAGGTGCTGACGGTCCCCTTCCTTCTGGCTATTGATGGCGGGTTTGCCTGTCAGGGATTAGATAGGTCCCGAGTGTTGCTTGCACTAAATGCGTCGGGGCGCTCCATTATGGTCCTCTAGGTCCCGACCTAGTGGAACCCAGATGGAGTGACGCTTAAACAAGCAGCCGGAATCCCTGGTTAGGATTGAGGGGC